GTGAGGAGGGTTCGGGGAGTGGGAGGCGCCGGGCATCTGAAATTCTCCAGGCTGCCCGGAGGGCTGCAAAACATGTGAAAGCAGTGAAAGAGGCTGAAAAATCGGGGCAAGCAGCAGCAGAAGGAGGAGCAGTAGCAGGAGAAGGAGCAGGAGAAGAAGGAGAAGCAGGAGGAGGAGGAGGATTCATAGGAACAGGAGGAGCAGGAGCAAGTGAGCAAGCAGAAGCAGGGGACAAGCCAGGGGACGAGGAAAAGCAGCCGCCTGTGCGTTACTGGGTGCCTCTGAAGGGAGACGAAGACGAGGAGCAGGAGGAGGAGGGGGAGGGGGAGCAGGATGGTGATAATGACCCGGTTGATCCTTCTCTCTCGGTTGTTGATAATGCCAAGATCTTCCCTCATGCCCCCCGCTTTGCCTCCTCCTCCTCCTTCTCCCCTTCACACCCCTTATACCCCTCGCCCCCCTCACCCCCCTCACCCTCTTCACCCTCCTCACCCACCTCTCTCCCTGTCCACAAGGCACGTACGCTCCCCTCCTCTCAAGCTCTATCCGAACTGAACCGACGCTTAGAGCCTGATTCGCTCGGCAGTAAATCAGTCCCGGAAATGAGGGTCCTAGTACGGCAAGGGTCCGAAGGAAGGGTTCTGGAAGCTGCTGGGCGGGCAGATGGGCTGATGCAGGGGGGAGTGGAGAGGGTGGGGTTGGGACGGAGAGCGAGTGTGGCTGCCACTGCTGTTTCTGCTGCTCTTGCTGCTCCTGCTACTACTGCTCGTCCTGCTTCTGCCTCCACACATTCTGCTGCTATAGCAACAGCAGGAAAAGCAGCAGTAGCAGCGGCAGGGGGAGGCGCAGCAGCAGCGGCAGCAGCAAGAGGAGGAGTAGCAGCAGCAGCCAATGCCGCTGCAGGTGCATGGGTCTCGCGTCGGTCCCCATCCCCCATATTAGCAGCCGCGATGCGAGCATCAGCAACCCTGGAGCTACAGAAGCAGCAGCACCAGAGCCTTATGAATGCCAGAAACAGTAGATTTTCCTCCTCCTCGTCTTCCTTGCAGCCCTCCACTGCCTTTAACTCCTCTTCCTCCTCCTTTGCCTTTCCCATTGCCACCACCAAGTTAACCGGTTTTTCTTCCAACTCCTCTTCCTTCAACTCCTCATCTTCCTTAAAGCCCTCCTCTTCTTTCCTTCCCTCCTCCTCCCACCTGACCGTTTCCCAGTCAGCCTACTGCTCCCCTGTCGTCCGCACTCCCGCTTCCCTTACTCCCACAATCTCCAGTATCGGCCGGCTGTCGAGCGATCTCGGCCCTTCATTCGACTCGTCAGATCTCGCTGCTGCTGTGGCTGCTGCTGCCGCGACTGGTGGGGGGATGAGGGGGAGAAGCAGGGGCGTGGGTGTGGGTATGGGTCCCTCCCCGTTTGTTGCCCGCGCTGCTGCGGCTATGCAGAAGGGAGCTGTTTGTCAACGGCGGTATGGTGGCGGTGGCGCTGCTGCTGCCCCTGCTGCTGTTGGTGCTACAGGTGCTGGTTCTGCTGGTGTTGGTAGTGGTAACGGTGGTGTTGGTGTTGCCAATGCTGCTGGTGGCTCTGCGGGGGGCTGGGATGGACAAAGGGAGTGGGGCTATAGCACTGGAAGCACCAACACTGGTGCTGGTACTGCTAATTTCGACAGCAGCGGCCTTGGTTACACGGGTAGCAGCACCAGCAGCAATGCCAATGCAAACACCAACCCCGCCGACACCATCACCAATGGCAACACTAGTAGCAACACCAATACTGATACCAACGCAAACCACCACCCGCCCGCCGACGACTACGAGACAACGAACACCGGCCACACGGCAGCAGTGTTTCGGCGGAAAACCATGGCAAGGCGGCCTGCAGGCGCAGTAGCACTCTCACCCACTCCCGCCCACCAATCGCGTCAGGCCTTCCAGGCCGCTGACGTGACTTCTAGGTTGACTCGCAAGTCATCTCTTGAAACCAACACTCTTCAGACCACAACTCCCCACGCTGCCTCTACCCGCCACGGTACCACCAGTCTCCGCTCTCCTCGCTCCCCTGCTGCTCTTCCTTCTCCTCGCTCTCCTACTCCCACCGCTCCTCTGTCCCCCACTCAGGGTCAGCAGGAGCAGCAGCAGCCACACACTCCCCCTCGTTCCCCTCCCTCTAGCGCCGAGTGTGGCGCCACGAGTGTAGAAACATCTCAAAAGGCCCCCACCCAGGGTCAGCAGCAGTCCCACACTCCCACTCATGCCCCGGCCTCTAGTGCCCAGGGTAGCACCGCCGTCACCGTCATCACGGCCGTCATGGCCGGCAAAGCCGGCAAAGGAGCAGCCTCGTCCTTCTCCTTAAAGCCCGGGAAGAGCAGCAAATCGAGTGTAAGCTCCACCACAAAAGATGGCAAAAAGGACGGCGGTGTGAAAAAAACTGCTGTGGCAAACGGTGCAAAGAAAAGGAGCAAGGAAGGCTCTCATACGCGGGATGCTAGCTGGGCTAGCAGTGGCACCGGCACCGGGCCTAACAGCCCTCTCGTACCCCCTTTGATCCCTATCGCCAAGCCTGTTACTCAGGCTCGTGAAGCTGTTATTACGCTTGAGCTTACAAATCCAGGAGTGGCTGCAGGCAAGTCGTCGTTGCCTTCTTCGTCGCCTGTGGCAAGGAGCGGGCTTGGTGCTGCAAAAGCGTCCCGTATACAACCTAAAATCGTTTCTAGTGAGGCGAGACAGCCTGTCAGATGATCATATCAAATTACGGTATAATAGGCATGAATGTTGTGTCCAGAAGCTTGCACTACAAACCCCTCTAATTTTCAAGATTGGGCGCATTTACAAACTGCCTCTTGGTTCTGAGGGCCACGAGTCGCCAATGCGCCATTCGCCACCCCTCCAGAGCCTCTTTTCCTGGAGGCCCTCTCAGTCACATTGCACATTTTCACTGTTAATTCATTCATGACTTGCTTGTTAGCTCATTCTGTATGAACATCAAGCTACAATTATCGTGTATCGGATGTGACATGTCCTTGTAGACACCCCTTGACCAGGCCAAAACTGTTGTGGATGGAGTCCATAATGGCTACAGAGTACTCACCTGCGACGCGCCCAAATTTTGTATGCTGGCAGGCAACATTTGTACTGTAGTACGGAATTGATGTAGCCGTCGTTTTCGTCAAATTAGTGTGTGCAAAAGATTTGGTTACACATTTGATGGTAATCCGTGGGCAATTCCAACAGCGAAACTGTAGCGCTGCCCTACCGTTGAACGCTCTGTATCTTTCTCCACCCTGCTCAGCCGTTTTAGTCTCGCATAGAATTTCACTTGCTGAGCAAGAAATTTTCTGGACCGCAATCAGACACCCGTTGCGAGAAGTGTGATGTTTGTTTGTTCTTAAAATACACATGATGCTTGTTTGAGCCACACCCGGTCGCCTTGTAAAGAGGGCTTATAATGCGTAACTTGTTTGTCGTCAAAGTTTCGTCAATTCGCGGCTAGCTAAAAGGATTCGCAGGTGCTTATATAAAGGATCTATAACCCTTTTCGTTGACATTTTGACTTCAGTCTCTTCAGTTTGACTTCAGTCTGTTTGTTACTATTGGTTCATAACCACGCGACGCGCTTGTAACGTGGGTGCAACAGGCTGGGGAAACAACCTCGGGTGCAGCGTTTCCATCCGTTGCAGAGCAAATTCGCGTGCATGGGGTAGGCATCACTTGTACTGCATATCCATGATTGTGTCCCATCCCACAGTACAGTGCTGCTGTTCTTCTGCTTCACTTTCTTGGGGATGGCTGGATTGAGTTGGATGGAACTTGAAATGGAAATTCGAACTCCAAAGCTGGGTGTGCGACTCACATCTGCGGGAAGCGAGATTCCAACCAACGAAGCTCCTAGCGACGCCACGGCATAGCACGAAAGAATCCCCCCACGTGATTAGATGCCAAGGAGGTTGCTGTCGTGTCAGGAGAGTCCGATGCTCTCTTGACACTATGCCTTCCTGATGAGGTAACCTACATAGAGTCTCGTAGGCATTGACCCCATACAAGTGCGTGAAAGTGGCGACGGTTACGGTAACGTAGAATATTGTAGGCATCGACAGACCTACAAGTGCGTGGAAGTGGCTCACTAAGCTTGCTTGAAGCAGCGGGACGAAGACCTAACTGCTGACTCGGAAACAGAGCAGAATAAACAAGCATCGGTTTCGTTGAACAGGCTGCATCGACCATCTATCCACCGGGTGACCTCCTACAATCCACACACTCATGGGGCGAATCAAAATTTAGCACTGCTAGCCGCGGCCTGAGCAGGGATGAATTTCGTAGAAGCAGGGACGTGCGTCCCTCACATAAATCCTTCGCTCCAGCATCGTACACTCCCCAGACTGGACTCTACAATGGCTACTCAAGCCAGCCTAAAGCTAAACCCCTCCTCGTTCGCGTCTTCCATATGCGAAAGCTGCTCCAAGCCGCGTGATATGTCCCATCCATGGCACCACCCTCCTCTCTTCAACGATTCCGCACGATCAGATCTCGGGCTTTGCCGGTTTGTGTGCACAGCGCCGCCGCAGCCGCCGAAGTCACCCGCCTCCGACTGTTCACGCGATGCCGCGGCTTTGCACGGAGGGGAAGCCGCCAATGGTTCTATCAGTAGTGGTTCCGCCGGTCGTTACGCACGCGCGGTGCCACTCAAGAAGCGCGACGCCGCATTCCTCCAAGAGCTGTTCGTGCGCGAGGAAATGGCGGCGCAACGCGAACGCCGCACGCGCATTCGCGAACTTGTTGTGAGCGACCCCGAAGCACTCTCTCCGCTCACCGACCCCGTTCCCGCAGGATGCCCAGTGGCGCGCGGTTTTTTTCCCGCAAACGGCGGTTTTGGCAGGGTGCGCGCGGGACGACTTGTTGGGGGTCGAAGTGCGCACCAACGTTCCGCTTGAAGCCATAGATATCGGGCTCGAGTCGCACAATCGGCGAATAGGTGACGTGTACAGCGTGGTACCGTTATTCGCGATCCCGATGGGCGGAACAAACGGCCCGGGCTCGGATCTTGGCAACGACGAAGCTTTAGCAGCGCCGTTGGGGATTAGGCGGAAAGCATGGGCAGACGACGACGACGAGAGCGAGGGGGAAGACGACGCGCACAGCACGCGGTCGCTGCCTTTGAAGAGCGGTGGCGGGGGGAAGTGGGGAGGGCGGAAGCAGATGGGCGGAGCGGAGTCCGAAGCCGAAGGCGGAATTGCGAAGGGGGATTCACGCGCGCGGGCGCAGCAATGGCGGGTAGCAGTGGTGGCGGCGGATGACCACATGGCGGCGGACCCCGCGCTGCTGCGCGATTGGTTCAGCGTCTGCGGCAACACAAGGGCGCTCTCCGCGTATCTGCAAAAGGGTACGCGCAGGTCGAGGGTACGCACTGGACAAGGTTGCGCCGGCCTCATTGTTACGGCATGAGTGTTTTTCGTGAGTCGTTTTCCCCTGCATGTCTGTCGTTCGCACCCTAAATGCTTCGCGTTTCCAACTCTGCCGTTCTTCCCTGCTCAGCAGGCCGTCGGGGCTCGCCGCTGCGGCTGCGCGGCATGACGATAGGGCCGCAAGAGCGCGACGCGGCGCGCAACTTAGTGTCGAGCGCGCACTTCTCCTGGATGCTGCAATACGCCATCGATTACGCCATCTGCCGCTGCGCCGCCGCCGCTGACTCACCGCTGGATGTATGCCACGTGGCGGAAGCAGCGCGGGTTCCAGAAACTGCGGAAATGGGTAAAGGCACGGCGAGGCGCTCCGCGGCGGGGGACGAACAAGAGAGCGCGGCGGCGGGCATAACGGGTTTCGCAGAGCACCGTGGAGCTATTCCAGCGTCCGTTTCCGGGCGTTCCGCTGCGACGACCGGCACGAGCGCGCGGAACTCCTTATCGTCTGCGCCAGAGGCTGGCGGACTGATAGCCGCGGAAGATTTCCCGCAACGAAGCGCGAACCTATCCGACAACATTCCCCTCTGTGACTCGCAATACGATTCGGATCGGTCGGGTCCCCTGGACTCCGCGCGGGACGACGCTGGGTCGTCGCGTGCGAAGTCGTACAGGCGCTCTTCGACGCTGGGTGCGACGGATCTTCACCGGATCATCTCCGCGACTGGCAGCAGACGGTTGCGCGGAAACACGGGCAGCGATAAAGAGAGGAGCGGGAGCGGCATGGAAAGGGCTGATCGAGACAGTGGGATAGGAGAAACTAAGAGCAAATGTAGCGAAAATCAGAGTCAGGGTTGGGGGAGCGGCGAAATCGTGAGTGATAGTGGCGGGGGATTTGATACAAAGAGCGGGAACCTCGGCAGTCAGGGTTGCATCAATGTGACTTTAGATGAAGGGCGGAGGAAGGAGTTCCCTGCTAGTTTGGGTGGCAACAAACACAGATACAGCAGCGGAACCACCGTTAGTGGCACAAGCAGTACGCCAACCGGCAGTTCGGATGATAGCTCCACAAGCAGCGGTACGAACAGTAGCGGGTTTCGCGACGAGGGGAATGGCACAGCTGGTTACAACAGTCGTTACAAGGACAAAAACAGCAAAAATGGAGTGTTAATTAAAATAAAAAGTTTCGAAGGTGACGGGGAAGCAGTAAAGGAGGCGGCGAGGGCAGGGGGGCAGGCGAGTAGCCGTACGAGCGGGGAAGGGCGGGTAGAAGAAGTTTCAGAAAGTGGGCGGCAGACAATCTCAAAACAATCTGATCCGCAAAACTTGCAGGCGACTCTGCCTCTGCCTCCGTGTGTGGCAGAAGTTGGAAGCAATTCTGCTGCGCCAAGCCCAAGGCGCTCGCGATCGCCACTGGGCGGCATTTTTCAGCTCGTGCTGAACTCCTCATGCTTCTCTGCAGGGGTGAAAGAAGGGATGGCAGAACACGATGCTGGGAAAGGGAACCGGAAACGCACTGCCTGCACAGGGGGAGGCTCGGCTAGTGCCCTTTCAGGCTCTAAAACTTCCTCCTCTGAGTGCGTAGGTGCTACGCGCGTAGGAGGGTGGAACCAAAACTTTGAGTCGGGTGGTGGGACAAAAAAAACTGATATCGACGAGTCTGGTTTGAAGTCTCGGGTTGCAGGAGGTACAGCAGCAGCACGGATGGATGGAGGGTTGGGTGGAGCAGAAGCAGGCAAGGGTGCGTTTCAGAATGTGCAGCAGCCGCAGCAGCAGCAGCAGAAGAAGGATGGTGATGGGAAGGTGAATGTGATTGTAGAGGGGGGAGTGGCACCTGAGGATATCTTCGGTTTCCTACGTGATTCCAGACTGACAGCCACTGTGGCAAAAGAGGGGCCTTTTGGTGCACCTCAAAAGCCGTTTTGTTCCAACACAGCAGCCCAAACACCACAAGCATTGCAGGCACCGCAAGCAGCACCGCAAGCAGCGCAAGCAGCTCAAGCTCCTCCGGCTTCTCAGCCACCTCAGGAGCCACAGGCACTGCAGGACCCTCCGGATTTGTTTGATTTCCTTCGTGATCCACGGCTTAAGGCCACAATGCCAAAAGGGGCCGGTGCATGGATTACCACTGCAGCAGCAGGAGCAGCAGGTGCAGCAGTAGCAGCAGCAGCAGCCCCAGCAGGAGCAGCAGCAGCTGCGCCTCTTTCCTCCGGGTCGTCCCTGCAAACCAACCTCCACCTGGACGTATCTGGGGAAGGTGCTGCCAGTGTGGGACAGGAGTCAGCTGAGAGAGTCTCGCCTTTGGAGAGGAATGGCAGAGGGAGCAGGCAGCACCAGGAGAGCCAAATACTTTCCAACCCTGTTTGGAGGAGAGCATCTGCTTTTACTGTCTCTGCTGCCTCCGCTCCCACCTCTCCTAGAGCAGCAACCAAACCTGCCCTGCTGTTTCAAAGCCTCACTCCTCCTACCCACCTGTCGGCTTCTCTGGGGAAAGGGGGTCAGGAGGGTGGCGAGGGGATGAGGGAAGGCGTGCTGTGGGCGGAGGGGGAAAGGAAGGTTCGGGAGCATGTAGAGAGCGGGTTTTTTCAGGGAATGCAGCAGGTGCAGAGTGGAGAGCAGCAGCAGCAGCAGCAAGGGAGGAAGAAGGGGATGGTTCGGTGTTTGTCGATGGGACTTCCCAAATTTGCGTCGTCTGTTCCACCCATCTCCCGCCGCAATACCTCCGAACGGCTCACCAATGCTGCAGCTGCTGTTTCTGGTTCTAGTGTTAGCTATCTTGCAGCCACCGCATCTGACCGCCCTGCTGCTGATGATGCTGGTGCTTCTTTCACAGCTGCAGGTGCCCCTGCTCTTGCTGCTCCGCCTCCTGCTCCTGCTGCTGCTGCTGCTGCTGCTGCTGCTGTTGGCACAGGGGCTGGCTCAGCCACAGCAGGCCACATAAGCCCAACAGGCCCATCAGCACCACAGGAGCTCCAAATGCGGCCATTAGCAGCCCACATGCGGGCGGCCAGCTTCAGCTCCCAGAGCAGCCTGAGCATGAGGGAATCACCTTTCACCACCACTCTTGCAGCCCGTGCTGGTGCGACAAACAGCCGTGACCCCAAAAGAGCGCTAGGCAAGAGCTCAAGCTATGAGACAGGCTCAGCAGTTTCAAGCAGGGTTGTCAGGATGCCCTTTGGGTCGCCTTCCGCTCACTCTGCAGTTGGCGCCGGGGTTTTCCAGAAATTCACACACGATGGCTTGATGACCCCATGTGAAGATTCGTGCATGGAGGAAGATGTGTCGCCTCCACCCCTGCAGCCCTCCCCGTTTCTCGCCGCGATCATATCCTCTTCCCAAGCTTCCTCCTCCTCTTCCCTTTCCCGTTCCCTATCCTCTCTGAAGCCCCCTGCTCCGTCACTCACCAGTGCTTACCCTTCCTGGCAACTGGAGCAGTCTTCTTGCAAACTGTCGCGCTCCCAGTCATCTAACTCTGTCGCTGCAGCGGCCCTCGTTTCCCCGTCGCCCCGCCTGCTGATGCGGTCTCCATCTGCTCTCTCTGCGAGGAGGAAAGCCCCGGTACCGCTACCGAACCAGTCTTCTAGCATTAGACCCTCGGATTCCGAGCCACACAAGAACGAGATGGCTGTGGTTAGGCATGAGGAGTGTGATGCAAATTTGAATGGTAGAGGCTGTGCGATTTCAGGCCGCCGCGCAAGCGAGGGGGGGAGTGGGAGGAAGAGAGTGGGAGGGGGAGGGTTGTTTGATGTAGAAGAGGAGGGTGAGGAGGATGAGGAGGCACCGGTGTTTGGGTCGTCGGGTAAAAGTAGGTCTTTGCCGCATAGAAGGCGAGCTTCGCTACCCGTGATGCCTTTACCTGCGCACGTTGAGGAGCAAGAAGCATGGTAGAAACATCCGGACATTGATATTTGCGTAATAAGATAGATAAGAGCTGCTTATGTTCATATTGGCTAACTAACAAGCCTTGAGTATTGAGTGTGTCTAGAAGGTAAACTTTCCAGGGCTAATGCTCCTTTCGGAGCATCATGTATGATGTGAGATTCTGGAGATTCCTTTGAGCGTTACGTTGAAAAGTTTCGCTGTAAATGACGAATTCTGTAAGTGGGCTGCATTTCTGCTGCAACCAGCGGGTGGAGCCAACGACGTTGAAAGTTTGAGAACTCTGGTTCAGCGAGCGCAGCCCAACAACGGGAGTGTGAATCCTCTTCTGCTTTATTTTCGACAACTTTTTAGGCTGCGACGTTTCCAAGGTTTTGCCTGTTACGGGTAACCTCGAAATATATTTGCGGAAATTGAGGTGGGTCGGAAAGCGCGGCAATATTTCTGCTCGTGCTCTGTGCCGTCGTTGATTCTCGCTGGTCCCACCACCCACGGACCTTATCCAACTAAGTAGGTGTGTTCAGGAAGTTCGTTTGAATGCGGTTGAGCGAGGCGGTTTGCGCTCTAGGACGGTAACTCTACGGATGGAATGGTTTGGTAGGGCGAGAGTGAACTGGTGGCTGGCTCCGACCTTGTTTTTCCACAATTATTAGGTGCTTCAGAAGCATTCACGCTTCGCATTATTAGTTCGTAGTGTCAGGCATTTCCAGTAAGAAGCGCGACTCCTGGCTTCTATTTATTCGCGCTTCGGGCTTCTATTTATTCGTGGCTCTCTGTAACATATAATTTCTTGTCTTGGTGCGCCTGTTGGGTGTTTTGAACCGACAGAAGCATTGCAAGTTCTGAACGAAAGGAGCGCGTGACGAAAACCGCAGAAAAGCGCAGCGGCCAGGACTGAATTGAGCAATCGTGTTTTCATATTTCTCGTTCCTTCGCGATTTCGTTCCTATTAATACCAGCACCAGAAGATTTACCTCCTAAAAACAGCACGAGTGGAGGTACCGTCTAGAGCCCGCACAAGCAGCTTTACGTCCTAACAGCTCTCACCCCACTTCGCTTAATTTCGAACGCCAAAGTCCCGCAGCGAAAGCTACGATCCAGCAATGCGGTCAGGCACTCGCATGTTAGCTGCAACCCTTACTTGCAGGTACAAATACGTAAGTGAGCCTACATTTGAAAAGTCTTAAAAGTTGGGGTCGTATTTGGATGTCGGCATTTGAGAGATGCCAAGACAACCAAGACTAATGAAATTCTTATGCTCATCTTCTAGGAGATACTACCAACTATAAGGTCTCAGGAGGTACAACTACATTCAGCGTGTCAGCATTCTCCACGTGTTCCCACTATGAGCATCTGTTGGAGCCGCGATTTAAGCATGCAGACACGGCCTTTCCCCGCGCTTCTCATATTATCGTTTAACGTGGTTCTCGTCGCCGCTATATTGGCCAGCTCCGCCGCGCGCTCCTGCGCGCAAGTGCAAACGCCGTCGGCGGAAGCGTCCGGTCGCGACTTGCCAGCCGAACCCGTTACAAGCTCACCACGGTGGCCGCGTAGAACGCTGCTTGCTGACTCCAGCGGGAACAGTAGCGCGAGCAATGGCGGGAGCAGCAGCAGCAGCAGCGGAAATAGCAGCGGGAGCAGCAGCAGCGGAAGCAGCAGCAGCGACACGGTTGTGGTTGTAGCGCTGGTGGTGGCTCTCGCGGTGTCCGTGCTTGTATCGATGGGTGCTACAGTGGTCGCGTGCATGCTATGGAAGCGACTGCCGCCCAGACGGCCAGGAGAATCTTCAGGTGTGCTGGGGAAATGCATCGCCGGTGTTACAAGGAATCAAGTAGCGTGTATGCAATTATTGAGGCAATGTGTCGGATAGGTTGTTCTCAGCTGCTTGGAAGGCGGCTGCTATACGTCTTCTACTCACCCACCCCCCCCCCCTTCCGCCCCCACCCTCCTCTCACACCCCCCGCCCTTCCTCTCCCCACTTAAGACCCCCCTCGCCCGCTGTCCCCTCCGCTCCCCTCTCCCACCCCTCGTTGCTCACCTCGTTCTCCCCCCCCAGTTCCCTTCACGTCCCCATTTTTCACGCCCTTCACCCGCATTTTCCCCTTCTCCCCCTTTTCCCCCATCCCCAGGTACCTCAGGTGCGGCCGTAACTTCCTCTGTGGCTCCGGAGGAGGAACTTAGGGCGCAGGGGGAGGGCGGAGGGGGAGGGGAGGTGCAGAAGGCGCAGCAGAGTTGAACTTCCTCCGCCCCACTCCCCCCCTCCCTCGACTGTTCATCCCCCAGGTGCCTCAGGTGCGGCCGTAACTTCCTCTGTGGCTCTGGAGGAGGAGCTGAGGGCGCAGGGGGAGGGCGGAGAGGCTATGGCGCAGGGGGAGGGCGGAGAGGCTATGGCGCGGACTTGAGCTTTTCCCCTTTTCCCCCCTCATCCCCCACCCCTCCCTCCCTCCCTCGAACCCCCATCCCCAGGTACCTCAGGTGCGGCTGTAACTTCCTCTGTGGCTCCGGAGGAGGAACTGAGGGCGCACGGGGCGGGCGGAGGGGGAGGGGGAAGCTCTAGCAAAGGCGGGGAGGACAGGGGGAAGGGAAAGGGGAAGGAGGCGGCAACGAGCGAGGCGGGTGGAAGAAGAGGGAGAGGGGGGCGGGTGGGGAGTGGAGAGGTAAGGGAGGGGGATGGGGTGGAGGAAGAAGAGGAGAGAAGGGGGGAAGAGGGGGGAGATGAGGAGGAGGAGGATAGGCGGCAGCAGCTGCGGAGGTTAAAAAAGGAGGAGCAGCAGAGGCAGCAGCAGCAGCAGGAGGAGGAGGCGGTGCGTGCAAAGGCAGAACAACAGCAGCAGCAGGTTCGGCCCGAGCCTGACGATCCAGGCTCAGGTGGAGGCACGGGGACGTTTGACATCCAAAAGGTGGTCAGCTTTCCCCTGAAAGTCCTTGTAGACGCCACCAACACTTTCGCCTCGGGCAACCATCTCGGGCAGGGTACCTACGGAATGGTGTACAAGGCGAAATTATCCTCCGGGGACGTGGTAGCGGTGAAAAGAGCCAAGGCGGACCGGAAGCAGGATGCAGGGAAATTCCGAAAGGAGATTGAGCTGCTGTCTCGGGTCAGCCATAAGAACCTGGTGCGACTGGTGGGGTACTGCAGGGAGGGAGGCGAGCAGCTGCTGGTGTATGAGTATGTGGCGGGAGGGAATCTGTCGCAGAACCTTAACCCGACGTGGAGAGAACGTGAGTATGGCTCCTGGGTCCTGGGGAAATCGTACCGTTTGTATGGCTGGTTGTAAGCCAGGTTGATGCCAGGTAGATGCGTGTGTAGGTGGCTGGTGCGGTGGTGCGGGGAGGGAGGGAGCAGCTGCGAGTGTGTAAGTACGTGGCGGGAGGGGACCTGTCCCTGAACCTCAACCCCACCTGGAGAGAGCGTGAATATGAATTAGCTTCTAAACTGCTCAGAGGGTTTAGCTTTGGGTGCACAGATGTCTGTGGGGGGTGGGTGGATGCAGGGGTGTTTGGTGCGTTACTGCACGGAAGGAGGGGAGCAGCTGCGAGTGTGTGAGTACGTGGCAGGAGGGGACCTGTCCCAGAACCTCAACCCCACCTGGAGAGAGCGTGAATATGATTTGGCTTCAGAGTGATTGGAGGAGGAGTTTGAATCCCAGGTTGCTGGGGTGTCCTCGTATGGAAGGCCGGGACGGTGGGCCCCTTTCCCTCCCCCCTCAATCCTCATAACCCCCACTCCCTCCCTCTCCCCAACCCTCTCTCCTCCATTCTCTCTCTTTCACCCCACCCCACAGGCCACAGCCGGCCCCCGCTGAACTGGACAGGGCGCCTGCTCATAGCAGCGGGCACGGCGAACGGACTAGCATACCTGCACGAGGAGATCGACTCAACGTGCCGTTCATCCCTCCTCCTCCCTCTTCCCTTTCCCCCACTTCACCACAGGCCACAGCCGACCGCCTCTCAACTGGACAGAGCGCCTGCTCATAGCAGCGGGCACGGCGAGGGGACTAGCATACCTGCACGAGGAGATCAACGTGCCGTTCCTCCCTTACCCCATTTCTCCCCGTTTTTTCCCTCCACTTGCCCCTCTCTTCTCCCTTCTCGCAAACCCACACAGGCCACAGCCGTCCGCCACTCAACTGGACAGAAAGACTCCTCATAGCAGCAGGCACGGCGAGAGGCCTATCATACCTGCACGAGGAGATCAACGTGCCGTTCATCCCTTACCCCATTTCTCCCCTTCTTTTCCCTCCACTTGCCCCTCTCTTCTCCCTTCTCGCAAACCCACACAGGCCACAGCCGTCCGCCTCTCAACTGGACAGAAAGACTCCTCATAGCAGCGGGCACGGCACGAGGACTAGCATACCTGCACGAGGAGATCAACGTGCCCTTCATCCACCGGGACGTGAAGCCCAGCAACATCATGATCGACCGCCACGTGGTGGCTAAGATCGCTGATTTCGGCACGACCAAGCCCATGACTCCGGAAGAGCTGAGGAAGATGTCAGTCACCATCCAAGGCACCGCTGTGAGTGCTGTTTCTTGGGCTGGATAGTGCCCACCTCTTACTACCTCTCTCACACCTTTCCGCCACCCTTCATCCACCGGGACGTGAAGCCCAGCAACGTCATGATCGACCGGCACGTGGTGGCCAAGGTTGCTGACTTTGGCACGTCCAAGCCCATGACGCCTGAGGAGCTGCGGAAGACGTCAGTCACCATCCAAGGCACCGCTGTGAGTGCTCTTGGGAGTGCTTGTTGTGAGTGCTCACGGGTAGTTGAGTGGCGAGTGAGTCCAGTTCCACTTGCTGACTTTGGCACGTCCAAGCCAATGACGCCTGAGGGGCTGCAGAAGATGTCAGTAACCATCCAAGGCACCGCTGTGAGTGCTCTTGGGAGTGCTTGTTGTGAGTGCTCACGGGTAGTTGAGTGGCAAGTGAGTCCAGTTCCACTTGCTGACTTTGGCACGTCCAAGCCCATGACGCCCGAGGAGCTGCGGAAGATGTCAGTCACCATCCAAGGCACCTCTGTGAGTGCTCGTTGCTGCAGCGCGTCACGTGTTATGAGTGTTTATGAAGTAGTGGAATGGTGTGTGTACTGAAGTAGCCCCCTCCTCCCCTCTTCCCTCCCTACTTCCCCTCTTTCCCCCTACTTTCCCCACCCCCAGGGCTACTGCAACCCGGACTATCTACCCGGTCCCTTCATCCCATTCCATACTGCCCCCCATACACCCCCCTCCCGCGCCAACCCCTTCCCCCTCAGGGCTACTGCGACCCGGGCTATCTGCACAGGGGGCACTTCCTACCCTGTCCCTTCATCCCACTCGCCCTGCCTTTGTTTGCCCTCCCTTGTGCCTTTTCTCCGCCCCTCAGGGCTACTGCGACCCGGACTATCTGCGCACGGGGCACTCCTCCGAGCGCATCGACATGTTACCGCACCAGTGTGCGGGGCAAGCAAACCCACACTCCTAACCCTGCTGCCTATACTCCCACCACCTCCTCCTCTTCACCCATCTCCCCCAGGGCTACTGTGACCCGGACTATCTGCGCACGGGGCACTCCTCGAAGCGCATCGACGTGTACTCGCTCGGCATCGTGCTACTTGAACTGCTCACCGGCAAGGGGCCGCACAAAGTCAACCGCCCCTACCGATTCGATGTGAGCTGAGGCGGGCTGGGCCGGCGGAATCAGGTGAGGGAGCTTGGGTGGGTGGGGGTAAGGGAGCTCACATCACACCTCACCACTTGGCACGTAGGGGTGTACCCTGCAGACGAGCTGCACCACACCCAACCGCATACCGCCTCTCTCCCTCTCCCTAAACCCCACCTGCCAGCCATAGTATATCCCGCCATGGGGCTGTACCATGTCTTCGACCTTGCTCTGCGCTGCACCTGCCCTGCACTGCACCGAAGTTCACCGCTTCAAACCCCTCCAATTCCACTTGTGTCCCTCGCCCCTATCCTCCCCCAGGTGAAGGATCGGTTTGACAGGGGTGACTTACCATCCATCGTGGACCCAACCATAGGGCTGTACCCTGCAGACGAGCTGCACCATGTGTTTGACCTCGCCCTGCACTGCACCGCACTCAACCACCTCAAACACCTCCATATCACCTATGTCTTCCCTTCCCCCCATTCCACCTCCCTCCCCTTAACCTCCCCAGGTGAAGGATCGGTTTGACAGAGGGGGATTACCATCCATAGTGGACCCAACCATGGGCCTTTACCCTGCAGACGAGCTTCACCACGTCTTCGACCTCGCCCTTCGCTGCACCGACATCCAGAACCCTGCCGCCCGCCCCTCTATGTCCCGAGTTGTGGCTGAGCTAGAGGCTGTTCTTGAGCCGGAGGCGATTTCCCGCTTCATTTCCTCCGGACCGCCGTCTCACGATTCGGCAGACTTCCGTACCGCGCCGTCAGGCTCGGGAGCTGGCCCGGGTGGGGCGGGGCTGACGCGGTTTGCCGGAGCTGGGAAGCAGGTGGGGCAGGGTGGTGGAGAAGGGGGGGCAGGTTTGGCGGCGGCAGGCTCGGGGGTGGAAGGTTTGGCAGTGGGAGGTACCGCAGGTGCAGCATTGGCTGCAGCAATCAGCTCTGCCTCTCCTTCTCGTTCTGACGCTGGTGATTCTCCTCTCACCCCAGACCCCCCTATCCCTCCTAACCGCTCTCAACCGCAACCCACCCCTGCTTGTTATGCGCCTCTTCCTCCTCCATCCTCGAAAAGAACACCGGGACCCCCAGCATACAAGGGCAGAGCAGCAGGGGTAGCAGCAGCAGGTGCTTCTGAGGCCACTGGTGGGGATATCCGGGGTATGAGGGATAGAGAGCTTGATGGTGCTTGTGTTCCAACAGGTCAAAATGATCCAAGAAGCACTGGGGGAACTTATGTTGTGAGTCACGACGTAGGCGTGCAGATGAAACCTGCACCAGTTGCCGCCTTCCGAGGGGCGTCGGCAGCTGCTGGGGGAGGCGCAACTGGAGCAGGTGTCATTGTAGCAGGCGCAAGTGGTGGGAATGCAGGTCGAATTGGTGGTGGCGGTGGTGTTGCTGCTCCTAATCAAGAATACAGAGCAGGAGAGGGATTTGGTGAGGGAGAAGGTGGAGGTGAGAGGGGTGAGGGGGGATATGAGGAGGGCTTGGATGCGTCGTTTGATTCTAGCGGATTTGATCGTAGCGGGGTGTTTAGTTATGGGGCCATGCCCCCGGCTTAGACCGTGATCCTAACTTCGTATCAAGCGAGCCTCGTATCAGGTTCACGCTGAAAAATCTTATAAACCCGAAACCTCTCGCTGGTTTTACCAGGCAAAAAATACAATCTGCTGATATAACCAAGGATTCAGTGAGAGGATAGAATCTGTTAAGTCTGTAAGGAGACAATAAAGTCTCTGTAGTGACCTTGTTGAATAATGATTGAAAGTAAACAAGATGATTGAAAGATAGGAGTACAAGAGATTAAGTAGAAAACTAGCTAGCCATGTACTCTGAGGGGTACATTCCCTTATTAACTGTATTGCATGGCTACAGTAACCGTGACTATTGCTATGCTCGACAGTTACCATGTTGCAGTGAGTTAACTGTCGCGCGGTTACTTGATTGTCAAGGGTCACGACCGTTGACTTTCTCAGACGGTTGACCTTCGGGTGACTCTCGACATTCCTCATGCTCTATATGAGCTATTGCGGTACTGGTACAGTGGAACAGCTTCGGGAATGCTTTATATAACCTTTCGGTTATTCCAACACTCCCCTTCATTCCTGAAGGTGGGCCACGTGGGATTTCTTGGTGATCCCGCAGAGGTCGGCGTAGGGTTGGTACTGCTGACGTGGTAGCTTCTTCGTTAAGAAGTCAGCTGCCATGTCACCGGTCGGGCAGTACGTCAGCTTGACTTTCCCTTTGTCGATTTCATCCTTCACGAAGAAGTAACGAAGGGCGATGTGCTTGGTGCGGTTGACGAAGCCGGGTTTGTTTGCGATTTTTATCGCGCTCTGATTGTCGCAGAGTAACGAGAAGTACCCGTTCATCGTCACTTTCGCTTCTTGCAGGAGCTCCATCAGGTACAGTCCTTCGCGAACAGCTGCGCTAGCTGCGATGAATTCTGCTTCTGCTGACGAAAGGGCGATGAGTTCATGCTTCTGAGAGTTCCAGGAGATGAGTCCCGCTCGTTGGAGTTGAAAAATGAATCCTGTGTGGGAGCGTCGGTTGTCAACATCTCCAGCGTGGTCGGCATCTACGTAGCCATGGAGCTGCAGAGTAGCGGTGAGGTTAGCTTCGTAAGTGAGGCCGACGTCGGGAGTGGAGATGAAGTACTGTAGTGCTCGGCGTAGATCTAGTAGATTCTCCCCTTCAGGTCGCTTCAGGTACTGTGCGAGCTGGCTTGCGACGTAGGAGAGATCGGGCCGGCACGTGACGGCGGCGAACAGGAGACATCCCAGCTGCTGCTGATAGAGACGATGGTTGTCGGGAGAGAGCGGTGTGTTGTATGGCTCGTGGTTAGGAGGAGGAGTGCGATAGGGGGTAGTGAGGTTGATTGGTGCGATGGAGAAGCGCTTTGCGAGTGTTTCGACGTACTTGGTGGCGGAGAGGTGAATGGAGGAGGCGGACTGAGTCACATTGCGGCCGAGAAACTGGGTGACATTGTGATTGATTGTTACCTCCAGCTCCTTTTTTATGTCGGCCTCAAACTGGTCCAGAAGCTCCGTGTCGTCGCCGGTGTAGAGAAGGTCGTCGACATAGGCGACGAGGAGTATGAGTTTCCCGCGCGATTCCCGTCTGTACATTCCGAGGTCGTGCGGCAGCTGAGTGAAGCCGAGCTCAAGGAGGACGGAATGGAGGTACTGCTGCCATAGACGAGGCGCCTGCTTGATTCCGTAGAGGGATTTTTGGAGGAGGCACATAGCGCCATCGTTTTCTTCGAATACGTGCGGCTGCTCGACAAAAATGATGGCGTCGACGGGAGCGTAGAGGAAGGCGCTGCCGACGTCGATTTGCCGGAGCGGTCGCTGTTTGACGGCGGCGATGCAGATGAGAATGCGTACCGAGGTGTGGCGGCCGACTGGAGCATAGGTGAGCGTGAAATCCACCAAGTGTGTTTGCTCAAATCCCCGAACTACCCAACGCACCTTGTACTTGTCGACCGAGCCATCTGCGAGTGTTTTGATGCGGAAAACCCATTTTCCGCAGAGAATTTTTCTCCCCTTTGCCGATGACCGAGGGACTAGCTTCCAGGTGCCACGTTTCTTCAGCGACGTGATTTCGGCGGCCATGGCTGTTCTCCATTTTTCACTGTCGGGGCTAGACAGGGCTTGGCGGACTGTGGTTGGTTCCTTGGGCGAGGTGTGGCGAACAGCGACGGCGAGGCCGAGAACGCGGAGACCGGTTTCGTCAGTCTTTTCGTAGTGAAGTCGGTCATAGTCGTGGAAGCTGGTAACTTCGACCACGTCGTCATCGCTGTCGTTGTCGAGGCGGAGGGTATCCTGCGACAAGTTGGGTTGTGGTAACTCGGCATCAGGCGATCGGCGCGCCTCGCTGTTGTAGTCGTGAGCCGCGCGAGTTGTATCGTTAGGATCGGGTTGGTGTAGAGATATGAATATCGGAGTCCCGAATTGGCTTGTGAGGGGGATGCTCGGAGCGGAGTCCATTGGGGTGACATCAGGTGCGTCTGTATCCTCGGCCAGGTCAGCTTCGTCGTGTGACGTGGCGAAGCTGCGGTGCCCCTCGAAGAGCCTCTCGGGAAGTTTGTCGGCTTCTTGGTGTTCCTTAAAAAGGGGCAAAGTCAGCTTCTCGTAGAAGATGCAGTCACGTGATTTCGTCACCTCGTGTGTCACGTAGTCCAGCACGATCCACACCTTGAATTCCTTCTCGATCCCGAGATGGATGCCCCATCGTGCCCGGTCAACAAATTTTCTGGTTCTCGCAGTGTGGGGTCTGTACTGTACCATGCAGCCAAACACCCGAAGCAGGCGTGTATCTGCTTTTCTGCCCGTCCATACTCGGTAGGGAGAGTTGTTGCTCTCAAGGCTTCGCGAGGACAGCAAGTTGTGCAGCCGAACAGCGTGATTCATCGCAAACGGCCAATATTTTGTTGGGATGGCCGACTACTTCATCAGGGCCCACATCCGCGTGGCGAGGCTTCTGTTTGTCCGTTCTGCTACTCCTTGCTGTTGGTGAGCGTAGGGCAGGGACACCAGGTGCTCAATCCCCTTCTGCTTGAGGAGCTCCTTGAACTCGTCTGAGAAGAACTCCAAGGCTCCGTCCGTCTGCCAGGTTTTGAGTTTGAGACCAGACTGTCGCTCAGCCCGCTTCATCCACGCAATGAAGCACTCGAAGGCCAGAGACCTGCTGTCGGTGTTGACGGCCCAGACGTAGCGAGTAGTGTGAAAATTGAGAATGAAAATGAAGAAGAGAGGGGTTCACTAGCAAGTAGTTGAGTACATATAGGAAACCCTAAGTTGGGCTGTACTCACTATTGAGTACCCCACTGCAGGCTAGACAAACATAACATTCTGACACACCCCCATAGCCAAAGTGGGGTGTAATCAGCACAATGAGCAAGCAGGCATAGAGCAGGAGTTCACAATAGGTAAGTAAGGCTAGAGCTAATCACAGAGGGCAAGTGAGGAGGAGGAGAGACTGTGGGGGAGAGAAGATGGGAGGCGACTGCTAACGCTGCAGACACACAGACGAGCTGCTGGCTCAGTGGCTACCTAAACAAAGGCCCGGACTACAGGAGTAACTGGCTCCGCGGCTAAAAGTAGCGGCAGACGAGCAACTGACCCACAGGCGACTGGCGACTACCGGAGATTGTAGCCTCCGGACTGCTGGTGCTGCTGACGACAAGACGGCTGCCTCCACGCAACCTCCCCCAGCTGCCCAACGCCCCTCTCACACACCCCCTGCTCAAACCCTAACCCTACACCCACAGCACCCCCGTAAACCCTAAACCCCAGACGCCCACACATCCACCTCCCTCAAAACCCTAGCTCCACTCCCACACTACCCCCCTTAAACCCTAAACCCCAGGCTCCCACACATCCACCCCCCTCAGCGACAGCTGCAGCAGTGGGAGACGAAGGAGGAGGAGGAGCAGGGGAGACCACACACCCGTCACCCCCTTCTTGCCACCCCCAAACCCTAACACAGGGCAGGGGGGGATGGCGGGTAGGGAGGGGGGGGGGGGGGGGGGGGGGGGGGGGGGGGCGACGCGCGGCCTCCCAGGGCGCCAAAGCAGGCGGCAGAAGGGGCGACGCTCGCCCCCCCCCCCCCCAGGTTGCGGCCCCCGAAGGAGCCGCGACGGGCGACGGGAAAAGGGGGGGGGGGGGCGGTGCACGTGCCCCCGGTGCGCCGCGGCTGGCGGCGGGGCATGGCCGGGGCAGGGCCGGGGCAGGGCCGGGGCCGCTGTAGGCGGCGAGGGGGCCGAGGAAGGGCGGCGACGGGGCCGCTGAAGGGCGGCGACGGGGCCGCTGAAGGGCGGCGACGGGGCCGCTGAAGGGCGGCGACGGGGCCGCTGGAGGGGTGGCGGCAACGGGGCCGCTGAAGGGGCGGCGACGGGGCCGCGTAAGGGGCGGCGATGGGGCCGCGGAAAGGGCGGCGTCGGGGCCGTTGAAAGGGCGGCGACGGGGCCGCTGTAAGGGGCGGCGACGGGGCCGCGGAAAGGGCGGCGTCGGGGCCGCTGAAAGGGCGACGACGGGGCCGCTGTAAGGGGCGGCGACGGGGCCGCGGAAAGGGCGGCGTCGGGGCCGCTGAAGGGCGGCGACGGGGCCGCTGTAAGGGGCGGCGACGGGGCCGCGGAAAGGGCGGCGTCGGGGCCGCTGAAAGGGCGGCGACGGGGCCGCTGTAAGGGGCGACGACGGGGCCGCGGAAAGGGCGGCGTCGGGGCTGCTGAAGGGCGGCGACGGGGCCACTGTAAGGGGCGGCGACGGGGCCGCGGAAAGGGCGGCGTCGGGGCCGCTGAAGGGCGGCGACGGGGCCGCTGTAAGGGGCGGCGACGGGGCCGCGGAAAGGGCGGCGTCGGGGCCGCTGAAAGGGCGGCAACGGGGCCGCTGTAAGGGGCGGCGACGGGGCCGCGGAAAGGGCGGCGTCGAGGCCGCTGAAGGGCGGCGACGGGGCCGCTGTAAGGGGCGGCGACGGGGCCGCGGAAAGGGCGGCGTCGGGGCCGCTGAAAGGGCGGCGACGGGGCCGCTGTAAGGGGCGGCGACGGGGCCGCGGAAAGGGC